GTATTCAGACTGTTAAACAACAGTATTTAAACAAGTATTCAGACTGTTAACAACAGTAGTTAAACAAGTATTCAGACTGTTAAACGACAGTATTTAAACAAGTATTCAGACTGTTAAACAACAGTAGTTAAACAAGTATTCAGACTGTTAAACGACAGTAGTTAAACAAGTATTCAGACTGTTAAACATCAGTAGTTAAATAAGCATTGGATCTGCTAATCAACAGTAGTTAAACAAGTATTAAAACTTACACAACATTAGGACAGTTAAACAACAGAAGCATCGAGACAAAAACTTAGCAGTATCTATCCAACCATGATAAGTGTACACATACATATCCATGTTTGTCGCAGATGTTGTTGGTAAGCTTCAATTTGTGAAAAGACACAACCTTATGCATCCACTGTTCGCCAGTGTTGGGAGAATCTGGATGGATGTACATCCTTTTGGGCATCTCAGGGTCAGCTTTTCCGGCAACCATCCACCGACTGTTATGGAACTTGTATCTACTATCATCTGCAGCTACGATGTCCATTAGCAAGATGTACTTAGCCTTCTTGTCCAGGCCGGACATTTTGACTTTGAAAGCAGGGAACATTCTCCTAAGAAGTAAATAAAAATATATATAATCAGTTATCAAGAAAAAGCGAACGAAAGTTAATGAAGTCACGATTCGACAATACACACGTATGACAATTATTATATACTAGAATATTAGTAGCAAAAACAGGCATGACGGGTATTCTAAATTAAAATGCTATAGTAAAGACAGGTGTGAAAAATATTCTAGACTAAAATGTTGGCGGTAAAGACAGGTTTGAAAAGTATTCTATATTAAAATGTTAGCGGTAAAGACAGGTTTGAAAAGTATTCTAAATTAAAATGTTAGCGGTAAAGACAGGTTTGAAAAGTATTCTAAATTAAAATGTTAGCGGTAAAGACAGGTTTGAAAAATATTCTAGACTAAAATGTTGGCGGTAAAGACAGGTTTGAAAAGTATTCTATATTAAAATGTTAGCGGTAAAGACAGGTTTGAAAAGTATTCTAAATTAAAATGTTAGCCGTAAAGACAGGTTTGAAAAGTATTCTAAATTAAAATGTTAGCCGTAAAGACAGGTTTGACAAATGTTCTAGATTAAAATGTTGTAACGGACTGAAAAAAAACGCCGCTACAACCAGGGTCGAACAAAAAACAAGTTAATAAGCTGTAACAACAACAGAAATCCCAAATAAGACCTTCAAATAATTGAAATACAAGTTTTATCACTTACAAAAAAAACAACAAAAAACAGTTAGTAAATCCACGCTTAGCCAGGACTTGACACAAACGTTAATTTAATGCTATTAATTTCAATAATTCGTTCTTACTATATCTCATAAACTAACTTGTTTAAGATATAGTTATTGGTTTGTGCATCCTTTTGGATTTGAATGTAGTGTATATTTTCGAAATATTGACTACCAAGGGCTATCATTTCCTTGTCGTTCAGTTGATGTCTAGTTTTTCATCTGCCATATGGTTTCGGTTTCGTCATTTATGTTAATTATTTAAGCCTAACTAAACACTAACAGGTGTTAGCTGCCGCCTATATTTACGTAAACAAAAAGCTGTGTAGCGAAAAAAATAGCTATTAAAGATGCAACGAAACACATTTTTGGTAGAGTACAAAAGACGCCAGAAACAATGATATATGTATGTATGTATTACGCATGTATGTATGTGTGTGCGTGCGTGCATGAGTACACATCCGCGTAACTGTGTTAAAGTACTAATCGTGTGTGCCTATTTACTCATACAAGCACGTGTTTATAGTAAAGTGTTATACCTTTTGGTACATATTTAGCCTGTCTTTACGTACATGAAAGACATCGTCTAACAACAGTTAAAATGACAATTCCTTAAATGGTACCCAGCTGTTGTATGCGATAAATTAACGTCCTGCAGAAACTACAAAGAATAGAACTTCTGGAATAATTCTATACACCTTGATTTTGGGCTGGCTAAACAAGTCACATGTAAACATTTTAGCAACTTTGTTCTCAGTGGCTCTAGTAACAAAACTACTTTTATTCAATATATCTTTATTGAAATGTGGATAGTAAATCCACTCTTCCCAAGTTTCCACTTTAAACAACAATATACAAAATGGAGCTAAAATGATTATATAGATGTTTCAAGTAGAGAAAGAGAATTGTTTAATTTCTAGCTGTAACTCTCAAAGAAACAATAATTAAATTGTCTTAGTAATATTTTCTTTAGAACCAACCGTATAGTATCAACTATACCAGCCGTACAGTAGGAACTTTACTAACTGTAAAGTATATTTTGCGGGACTAGCATGGCTTGGTGGTGAGGACGCCCGACTTGTAGTCTACAGGTCGCAAATTTGAATCCTGTCATCGAACATGCTCGCCCTTACAGGCGTGGGGGCGTTATAAGGTGATTGTCAATCCCACTATCGTAGATAAAGAGTAGCCCGAAAGTTGGCGGTGGGTGTCGTTGACTAGCTGCCTTCCGTCTAGTCTATTATTTCAAAATTAAGAAAGGCTAGCGCAAATAGTTCTTGCACGAAATTCAAAAACAATCAAAGTAACTTTTGCCCCACTCTGTATGTATAAATAAATAAACATGTATATTGTATTATAAGAGATTTAGACCGAACAAATTCTACTAGATGTGTAGTGTTTATTAGGTGCCTGGAAGACGTAGCTGTGCTACAAGCTTTTATTAAGCGAACGCTTTAACACGGTGACTCAGTGCTAAGTCTGAACTTATAACGATAAAAATCAGGTTTCGCTGTGTGTTTTAGGACGTTCCTAGACCATTGTGTAGATTTGTGCTTAACAAACAGACAAACAATACGGAAGCTCAAACGTCATCAATTTCTACACTTCACGCAGATGCACTCTTATAAATGCATTCATATGCTGTTGTTTTGTAGCGCAAAACTACAGCATGGGCTATTTACGCTCAGCCCACCGCGGGCATCAAACCTCTAATTTTAACGTTATAAGTAGTACCAGATTAAAGCATAGGTCATCTAAGCCCGGGCCTATGGCCTTATCGGCCACCCAAGTAAAAAAAAAAAATGGTTTGTAAAACCAGCAGAATAGAGGTAAGAGTGAGTTATTATTATTATTCTCATATATTACCTAGGTCTAGGGCCCCACTAAAACTTAATCTGGCTTAAACTTAGTCTGTGAAGTTACCAGGGGACATTTTCACATGCACTAATAATAGTGCTAATAATGGGAAAGTAGGCTTACATTTCTCACATTACATGTAATATACCAGTTTGCTTAGAGGAAGTAATCATAGTAACACAAATTTTAATTTTTTTTTTTTTTTGTTAAAATATATTTTTCGAACCTTTCATCTTTGAAGGAAAAACTTTGACTTAAGAAAGTTTTTAAGGGTTTAATTTATAAAGTAGCAATTACTGATGAAGAACATAGCAAAACAATTCAAACCAGAATTTCAATCCAAGTCTTTGATCACACCACCAGCTAATCATTTGTACAAAACTTGCTTGCAGGCTCATCACTTTATTGGATACAGTGTCTCTAATCACAAGTGCATAGAATTAAAGAAAGATACATTAATTCCACTAATCACTGCATGATTCTCCTACATTTTTGGTCAGATCTCTATCTTTCTTGAAACAAGCTCAAACATAAAATTACTCAGCAAACGGAACGGGGTCTGACACTGACTGGTGGTTAAGGTGCTCAACCCGCAATGTGCGGGTCGAATCCCATCACCAAACATGTTCGCACTTTTAGCCGCAGAGACGTAATAATGTGACGATGAAGCCCACTATTCGTTGGTAATGAGTAATCAAAGAGTTGACGGTAGGTGGTGTTGACTAGCTGCTTTGTTTCTAGTCTATCACTTCGAAATTAAGGAAGGCTAGCGCAGGTAGCCCCAGAGTAACCTTTCGTGAAATCCAACAAAGAACTAAACGGAATAACAAGTCGGTAGTTTTAGGGTTCATGCATATATAGATGAAGAGTAGCAGTCCACATGGCGCTATTTATACTGTAACCACGTGCAACAGAGACCTAGCGTTTCAGAGAAACTAGACGTATATTTTTTTCTTTTTCTTTTAGCCGTGGAACACCTTTTTGTTGTAGATAGGCTTAGGATGTCGATTGGTCTTTTATTTTGTTTTTCGTGCTTTGCCTTTATCACTAACTTTTAATCAAAATAAGCCTCTTGCATAGACTAGAACTAACAATTAACACAGTAATTAACATAGTTAACTTAATATACCGATATAACTAACAGTATACAATGTCGTAAAACAAAAAAAACTTCAAATGATAAGAATGCATTGATTCCTCAATTGGATATCCTAACTTTCATCGATAATAACCTACGAGATTAGTCACGTTGGGATACTTAAGTTAGTCTCAAATCCATATATTAAGCTAACAATGCAAAATGATATATATGCATTTTTTATATTTGTATTTTGCATTTTCATGGCAAAGCTACTAAGGCTATCATCAAAATACAAAAGATATATATATATATATATATTAAACATTCTAACAAATACTGTTATATTAAACATTATAACAAATACATTTATATTAAACATTCTGACAGATACTGGTATATTAAACATTATAACAAATACTGTTATATTAAACATTATAACAAATACAGTTATATTAACCATTCTGACAGATACTGTTATATTAAACATTCTAACAAATACTGTTATATTAAACATTATAACAAATACAGTTATATTAACCATTCTGACAAATACTGTTATATTAAACATTCTAACAAATACTGTTATATTAAACATTATAACAAATACTGTTATATTAAACATTCTGACAAATACTGTTATATTAAACATTCTAGCAAATACTGTTATATTAAACATTCTAACAAATACTGTTATATTAAACATTCTAACAAATACTGTTATATTAAACATTATAACAAATACTGTTATATTAGACATTCTAACAAATACTGCTATATTAAACATTCTAACAAATACTGTTATATTAAACATTCTAACAAATACTGTTATATTAAACATTCTAACAAATACTGTTATATTAAACATTCTAACAAATACTGTTATAT